GGACTAATTTTTTGAAAAGAGATTTTTTACATTATAATAATTTCCAAAAAAAAAACTTCCACAAGACGGTATGAATACAAAAATTTAACTTGTAGAGAGCTAATCCTGCCATGATGTGGAAATTCTCGGCTCGAACATAATTGCTTCCCGTAAAGAATACTTATGGTCTATCCGAAATATGTTGAGCATGAATCATTTTCTAATTCAATTTTAATCATTTTGCATCATAGAAATTTGCATAAAAATGGCATATCATTTATTTGAAAGGCTTTGACTTTTTTATGTTGCATGAAAAATATTTTCTCATACTGTGATTTAATTAGTGGTAAGCCGCATACTTAAAAAAAAAACTTTACATATAAATCGAAGGATCACAACATGAGAAAATACTTCTCATAACATCAGAAGTATTTTTCTCTAATTTAAATCACATAGCCGTAGTAATATTGTTAACACAACACGCATATATTCAGTAAGAAAATAATATTAAAAGAATTACTCTGTATATGACAACATTACATAGAATACACTATACAAAAGACAGTCCAACGATACACGCTGCATATTGCGATTTAACAATCTTGAACTTGTTAGATATTTGTTATACGCCAATTATTTAATTAATTTAAAATATGTGTTGATGATTACAAATAATTTAATGTTAATTTAATTGATAACAATTTATTGTCTTGGATTTACTAATTAGCTTATTATTTGAGATTTCAAAATAATGTTTATTCTGATATGAAATAGTATTCAAGATAATTGAAAATTGTATGAAAATTGGAGAAGATATGGATGATATCCTGGAGAGAGAGAAAAGCATGAAATAAGTAAAGTTTAGGATAAATTTTATATAAGAGAAATAAAATATTCTTTGCCAAAGATTCATATTATAATTGTATTGCACAATAGAATAAGATATTTAAGTTTTACATATTTGTATTTGAAAAAAATTAGAAATCTTATTTTTAAAAATTGCATTTAAAATTTTATTTAAAGGTAAAAGATTTTTGGTTAATTTTTAGAAAAGACATCAAATTTCAAATTTATATCTTTTGGACTTTTAGGAGAGATAAAATGTTATTATTATAAATAGGGCTCATTGCATGTTATTCATTATAGGAGAAAATACAAGAGAGAAAATGATGAGAAAAAATACAAGAGGGAGAAGAGAGAATTATATTTTCATGATTGGAATTTTATCCTTGTGCATAAATTGAAGAGCTTTCTCAAGAACAATTACCAATACATTTATCTTTTTTTGGCAAAGTGAATATTTTTCATAGAAATTCAGATTACCTATCTGCTTGAGGAAAAAAAGCACTGAGGTAAATCATTTTAATTGTAAAATTCTTCTTGACCTTTTTGAAGGTCTATACTGGGAAACTTGTAAATCATTCTTGTGCTGGCAAGTGGGATACCAGCATATCTTTTTTCTTTGGAAGTTGATAGTGACTTGAGAACCCTTATGTGATAGAGTTTTGAAATCCTAAAGGTTAAGATTTCGTAAAGGGAAACTAAGGATACCATGTGAGAATTTGTGTAAGAGATAGATTATGAAACTATGATATTAGAGAACTCCTCGTACTCAAGTTTCACGGTGGAGTTGCTTGTCAAATTTCAATATTCGATATTAGGGCCACTGGTTTTTTCCTGTTTTTTGGGGGTTTTCACGTAAAAACTATTGTGTCAACATCTCTTTGTCCTTCTTTTGATTTATTGCTTTGAGTTAATTTTTAATGAGCTAACTATTTTTATAAAACTCAATTCACCCCTATTGAGTTCAATTGGGACTAACAGAACTAAGTTACGAGATTGGCTGTAAGTGTTGGGTTTTCCTCTTATTATTTAAATGTCCCTAGGGCTTTAGTACATGAAAAGGCCCCAAAAAACCTATGTTATGCTTACACGTGTGTGTGTGTGTATATATATTCATTATCAAATGAATAGTCATGTTTTATTTTATGAAATAAGATTAAGGGATAGGTTATTCTTCTGCCTATTCTTATTTTGTCTATCTTTTCCTATTCCTCTCAACACTGTTAGATTACAATCTCATCCAATGGTGGAGAGTTGCAGAATAAAATAAACCCTTTTCCCTTTCTTTCTCCTCACTGCCTCCCGCACTCTTTCTCTCTTCTCCCATTTCTCTCTATTGATTTGCGTAATTTACAACTTGAATTTATATTTGAATCTAAATCTATGCAATGATTAATGACATGAGTATAATTTTTAAAATTCCTTGAATCTAATATAATTAAACATGGCAGAAAGCACAAAAATACAAAAAAATGAAAACCACGAATAATCTCTCCCTTTGAATTAATCTATGATTAACATAACGTTTCTACTTTGTTGATGAAATTTAAAATCGAATCCACTTATCTCCTTCTTATCTTGTTTTTCACCTTGAAGTGGAGAAATGATCTCTGTTCTCTCTATGTTACGCCTAATATGGCATATGGGTCAATTTTTTTTATGTAAATGCTCGTAAAAATGGCTGGGTTGGATGAAATAAGAAAAAAGCTTGCACCTTTTTCTGATGCTGAAGTGCCATTGAAGAGAGAGAAAGAGTGAAAGGCACTGGAAAAGAGAAAGGGGTAAAAAAGTTTATTTTATATCATAAATCTCCACAGTTTGATGAGATTGTAATCTAACGGTGTTGAGAGTGGTAACGTGGTAGGTAAAAGTAGACAATAAGAGTAAGCAGAATAATCTATCCCTTTTTGAAAATTACATTTAAAATTTCATTTAAGGGTAAAAAATTTCTGGTTAGATTTTGGAAAAGATTTGAAATTTAAATATGGGTTCACTTTTTATGTAGTTACTGCAGATAAGTTATCTGCATTTACTCCCAAAACGACGTCGGTTTGGGATTGAAAAATTAAATAATTATAATTATAACGACTATAATAACCCTGAAATAAATTAAAATTATAAAACACCATGATTTCCGCCCCAAAACGACGTCGTATTAGACTTAGTGCATATTATACCTTTAAATATCACTCTCTTTAAATATTATACCTTTTGGGCTTTTAGGAGAGAGAAAGTGTTACTATTATAAGCAGGACTCGTTGCATATTATTCATGTGAGGAGAAAATACAAAAGAGAGAAAGGAGAGAAGAATATACAAGAAGGAATTAGATTTTCAATATTAGGATTCATTTTTGTGCATTAATTGAAGATTTTTCTCAAGAACAATCATTCATACATTTATCCTTTCGCAAAGTAAATATTTCTCCATAGAAATTCAGATTACCTATATGCTTGAGAAAAAGAAGCACTGAGAGGTAAATCATTTAATTGTAAATTTCTTCTTAGCCTTTTTGAAGGTCTGTTTTGGAAAATTTGGATACCAGTTCTTGTGCTGAGAAACTCAACATGTCTCTTTTTCTTGGAAATTATGAGTAACTTAAGAACCATTGTGTGATAGGATTTCGGAATCCTATAGGATTAGGATTTCGTACTGAAAAACTAGGATAACAGTTGAGAATTTGTGTAAGGGGTAGACTAGAAAAATAGGATACTAGAGAGCTCTTTATACGCAAGTTTCATAGTGGAGTTGTCCGTCGAATTTCAGTATTCAATTTTAGGATCCATGATTTTTCTTTCCTTTTGAATTTTTCACATAAAAAATAATTGTTAATATTTATCTATCCTTATTTTAATTTATTACTTTGAATTAATTTTTAATTAATAATTTTCTTATAAAACTCAGTTCATCCTGAGTTCATGTACTACCAACACATGCAACTATTAGCAAATAGATCTGGCGCCAAACAAAAGTTACCACGATTTGTGGCACGATAACTGTTTGGTGCAATCGGTGCCTAACTCGGTGCCGAGTAAACTCCTATTTGTGCAACTACCTTTTGCATAATATTCTCCATGGTGCAGTCCCGTATCACACATTTATACTCCAAGCATCAACTATCCACTTTATTTCTATTCCAAGATTCAACCATGTTTTTAAAACCAAGAAACTTCTTGCGTGCCAACACCCTGCCACGTTTCAACCACAATTTCATTCTATTAATTTTAAAACTATAATTAGGAGCTAATAATATGAGATTAATGTTTTTGAGATAATTTTATATTTTACACATACGTAAAAGTGTGTGTGAGACTCATATTTTCTTTTTTTCTCTTCTTTTCACATAAGCTCAACACATTTTTATGTGTGTATAGGAGATAATTTTATAAGTTTAATATTTCTGCTTTGAGGAAGGTTATACTCATTATCTTTGTTTTTTATTACCTTTTATTATCAAATCTTAACTGTTGATTTTGTCAATTTAACAGTTATAATTTATTAGGTGATACTTATTAAATAATTATTAATTTTTAATAAATTATAACTATTAGATTGATGAAAATCAATGATTAAGATTTAGTAATAAGAAAAAGAAAAAGTAATAAGTATAACATTTCTTTCGTATAACTTTTGTTGCAGTAAAAATATTTCTTTCATATTCATATAAAATTGAATGAGTTGCAATCCTATTGATCCACTTATTTTTACGTGAATATGATAAGAATTTTTTTTTCTGGAATGAAAATGAATGAGTTGCAATCTCAATATACTTTAATTTTCAAAGTTTCAAAAGGTGAGATGAAGGGGTGAAAGGGTAAGGATGATAGGAGAGAGAGAGAGAGTCAATTATTTATTTATTTAGTTTTTGATACATGATATTGAATTATTAATTGGCAGCATCTGCATCGAACGATTAAATAAAGGGTTTAAGTTTTCTTATGTTGTAGGATTGTAGAAGATAAAAAAAGTAGAGAGAAGTTAAATGTAGATCCCATATTTTATATTAAAAAAAAATAAATAAAATTAATTGACACGAAAAACGAATTAGCGTAAGAAAATAATATATTCTTATGTAGAGCATAAAAATATTATTTCCCTTAAATAAAAGTAGCAGCACACGAGGGGAGGAGAAGAGTAAAGTTGCGTTATGTGCCAAGGTGGAAAAACAAGAGTGGGTAACAAACAAAAACAAGGATAAGAGAGAGAAAGAGTGTTGAGGGAGAGAGAGTGGTGCGTTTTTCTTTCTTCCTTCCTTTTTTTTTTTTTTTTTTCTTTCTTTTTTTCTTTTTAGAGAGAGCAATTTGAGGTTTTGGGGGCATGGAAGGGCTGGCCATGCTGAAGCAGCTCATCGGTCAGCTTCAGCATCTCTTGGACTCTTACCACTCTCATCATCATCATAATCATAATCATAATCATAATCATAATCATTCTTCTTCCCCTTCTTCTTTAATCCTTCAACCTTCTCATCACACACTTCTCTTTCAACAACGCCCCAGGTCCTTCCCTCTCTCTCTCTCTCTCTCTCTCTTAGATCTGTTTTGTTTCTCAAATGAGGTTTTAGACTGTCTTGGGCGAGGACGTTGTAATTTATTTTCTTATATTCTGTTTTTTTTTTTCCTTGTGAATCTTTTTTGTAATTTTGGATGATAATTTTATTTTTTTAATTTTTTTTAATATTTAAAACGGATTAACCGATTAGGTAAGTTAGGTTTCATTCTGTTATGTAATTGTTAACCGTCGGATTTGAGCGGTTGAGTCTAACTATTCGTTATGATCTTTGATTCCATGCTTTCTGGAAAGGAGACCCTAAAATGCAACTATTCACACACTTCATCATATTTTTGTGTTGATCGTCTGTGTGTGATGAATGATGATGTTGCTGCGTAATTCTCTGACAATTGATGCTCCTGCCTTCTATATTTGCTTCTCTCTGTTGTTATGGAAAAAATATATATGTATATTGTGTTTGGTTTTCCGACAAATTTTGATATTTCTTGCATTGTTCCTTGTCGTATACTGGTTGAGGACCTCCTTGTTCTCTGGCTTGTTTGGGTTTGGAACAGATGTTCGAATGAAAAGAGAGAAATAGGTGTTGGAAACTCAAGTGTGATGTGGAGGTTTTGTGTCTAAGATATGGTGTCTGGTTCAATTATTGTGGTTGGTGTGTCTTAGCCCATTGGTGGTAGTTCTTCCCTACCATGCACTTAGATTATTTCATATTATACAATGATTTAATGAGAACTAGGAGACATGCAGGGAGAACAATGCAAACTCCTTCTCTTAACATTAACGTTTGGGTGAGGGGAAATTTTTTGAATACTAGGTAAATAGAATTGATAGGGAAATGGTAAGAAAGTGAGATAAAGTGAGATAGATAGTGAAATGTTGAAAAAAGTAGTTTGGTGAGGAAAAACTTTACTGGGAAAATTAGGTAACTTTTAGGAAATGTATGTTTGGTGGGAGGTAAGATATAGATGGGAAAATAATCTTAAATTACCAAAATAACCCTGATTTTAAAGATTTTATTTCGGTGGCATGCTGCTGACCACACAATCAGAGGGTATAATGGGTGCCAAGCAATTTAATGAACAGTTGTTTAACCAGTTTTTTCCAAAAACCCACCTCCCAATTCGGTTTCTCAACAGTACAGAAAGCTGTGATTCGGTGCCAAAATGTAGAAACCCATGCAACTTAGATCGATGGCTTTCTGAGTAAAACACACTAAACCAAACGTACCATTTCAAGAATCCTCTTGACATTTGCATAGGAAAGCTCTAAAATGCCGCGAGCCAAACGCCTCCTATAAGCGTTTACTATGCTTAAGCAAATATAGGGTCAGGATCATTTTACATCAATATAAGTTGCACTCTCAATCATGGCTGTTGTTCCCATTTATATCTAATAGCTATGACTTTTTAGTTAGGTGAGCTTTTGGATACAAGTGAATTAATGGCCAATTATGAGTGTAAGATTTCTTATTCTTATATCGGTGTAAGAATAACATGTCGTGTGTGTGTGTGTGTATATATATATATATATAGAGAGAGAGAGAGAGAGAGAGTAATATCATCATAATTTTAGAATGTTTGGTATGGTTGCTCTTGCACTAGGAGAGCTAGGAATATTTACTTAATGGTCTTCATATCATACTTGGCGGTAAGCAATCCTTGCAAAGATAATAGTCAGATTATGTCCTTTTATTTGATTGTTTGGTTTAACTATCACATATATTAATATTCAAACATCTATGTTTCAGGTGTGTGTTCTGGTAGTCATTGTTGGATAAACAGAAATTTTCTGGATTTTGTGCATTGTTTCTGTGTCATAGTGTGGAAGTTTTGTATTGCCAATTTACACCTTACCCTCCTTATGTGGTCAAGTTGCTATAATTGAATGAATATTTTAGTCATTCTTTTGTAAAAATTCAAGTCTGTTTCCTCCTTACAAAACAGAAGAAAAAGGATAAGAGAAAACGCTAAGTTGTTGCTTGGAGCTCCATTTGAAGCATATTTTTTTATTATGTTTCTTTGGAACACTAAAAAAAAGGCAAGGGCAAACCCTAATGCACAAAGACTCTGCAACTTTGTGAGTGATGCTTGGGAACACTAATAATTTAAATAAAGCTTCTGATGGACAAATAGCAGATGGACCAATTTATTTCCACTTTGTTGGTTCAACAAGCTAAAGTTCAACAGATATCCTTTAGTAGCTTCTGACTTTGAGGATGCATATCATCACAAAGGAATGTTCAAATGAAATGGAGAGAATTGTGAGAGTGATTACTTACGTTGCAACCATCCCTCAGGATGAATCAACTCCTTTGCAAATTATAGTTAAAGCCTTAGAGGGACCATACTGTAGTAGAAATTGATTTTATCTTATGAAAATGAACATGGGATTCTTGAGCACTACTGTTCATTTACTCACTCAAAAAATAAGATACTCATGCTAGAGAATGAAGATATTTACACACTAAATGTAGTGATGTTAAATTGCATTTCTTTTACAAAGATGGTTGTGAAAATGTCTATAGTTATATGCTTAAACAGATATGGACTGCAGATCAATTTCGGTTGCGCATTTTTTTTAATGCATGCTTTAATTGATGCTTCTTATAAATCCTTTTTTTTTTTTTGAAAATTCTTATAAATTTTTTTAATCCTTGAAACATGCAATTTCATCCCACTCACTACCTACTTTGTCATCTTTTAGCTTATATGCAATTTCCCTTAGTATAAATAGTACTGATTCCGTAATCTAAGGATGGAGTTTCATTTTTGTTATTGTTTGTATAGCTTTTTTTAGTGTAATTGATACTATGACAATTCAAGAAATTTTGAATACATTTACCTCTGCCACCCTGCAAAAAATGTGTACCCTATTCAATAATTTTGGTGGGTGCAGTCTGAATTTGGACTGTAATATCAAATCGTAGCTTAGTTGCATGGTTCTGTAATTTGCTTTCCAATTATGCTTTTCTATCTCTGAATCATGCTGGTTTTTGTATGATGTTGGTTCTACTTCTACTTCATGATTGGAAGCATATGAATATTTTTGTTTATCCGTTTCACAGATGGACCTCCCTTGACATTGAAGATAGCTCTGGAGATGACTCTTGTGGCCTTGTAATGTCAGCTGGAAAGTCTGATAGTTTCAGGATGTCTGAGCCTTTAAAGTCTCCACCTACTAAGAAGCCTCGAAGAGATCGAAGCAGGGGAAAATCATCTGGAAGGTCCTGTACAACTGAGGTTATGGAACAAGAAATTTGGAAAGATTTTCCTGAAGATTTATTTGAGTCTGTGATTGCACGACTTCCCATTGCTACATTTTTCCGTTTCCGCTCTGTATGCCGGCAATGGAATTCCTTGCTGACTTCTCAAAGTTTTTCTGAGCATTGTGCTCAAGTACCAAAAGAAAATCCATGGTTTTACACCATATCCCATGGAACTATGAATACAGGAGCCATGTATGACCCTTCTTTGAACAAATGGCGTCATCCTGCTATATCAACAGTGCCCACAAAGTCGATTGTTTTACCAGTGGCTTCTACAGGGGGTTTAGTTTGCTTTCTTGACATTGGTCATCAATACTTCTATGTTTGTAATCCACTGACTCAATCCTTCAAGGAGTTGCCAGCTCGGTCATTTAAGGTCTGGTCTCGAGTTGCTGTAGGGATGACAATAAATGGAAACTCAACTGGTTCAGGCTACAAGATCCTATGGGTGGGTTGTGATGGAGAATATGAAGTTTTTGACTCAGTGAGAAACTCTTGGAGTCGTCCAGGAAACATGCCCGCAGGTGTGAAGCTGCCATTGTCACTTAACTTCAGGTCACAATCCGTCTCTATTGACAGCACACTTTACTTCATGCGTGCAGATCCAGAAGGGATTGTTTCCTATGATATGGCAACTGGGGTTTGGAAACAGTACATAATCCCAGCTCCATTGCATCTGACTGACCACACACTGGCTCAGTGTGGTGACCAGATCATGCTTGTGGGTTTGCTCACGAAGAATGCAGCCACATGTGTATGCATATGGGAGCTGCAGAAAATGACACTCTTGTGGAAGGAGGTTGACAGAATGCCAAACATATGGTGCTTGGACTTTTATGGGAAGCCCGTTAGAATGATTTGCCTGGGGAATAAAAGCTTGCTCATGTTGTCCTTGAGATCAAAACAAATGAATCGGTTGGTTACTTACAACATAGCAAGAAAGGAATGGCTGAAAGTTCCTGGGTGTGTGATGCCGCGTGGGAGAAAACGACAGTGGATAGCATCTGGTACTGCATTTCATCCATGCCTGACTGCAGTGGCCTGATTTTGCTTGTATCTCTTACTGCAATGGCCTGTCATTTTTTTCTCCAGTCTTGCGGTTCTTTGCAATTTGCAAGCCTTTGGTGTTGATGTAATCCTAATGGGTATTGCTGGTTTAACAAAGTAGATGAAAAATAATATGGGTTTGTAGTGATTCATGTTTCTTCATGCTCACAAGCATGTAAACATTACTTTGATTTCATGTTACGAATGCTTCATCCTCGAACTCCTTGGTAAAAGGTGATATAAAGCTGCAGCTTCTTTCTGTATTCAATAAGTGAATGGTTTTCTTCTTGTATTTGTGTGTTCTTTGGGGAGGGACGAGAGAGGATCCTTGATTAGTCTCTTGGTCTGGAAGGGTCTTTTGTTTCAGTAGTAGTTACTTTTCGGATGGAAGAAATTACTGTTTTTCTTTTCTTTTCTTTGTAATTACTTCGAAGATCGAGGTCCATTCCCTGGTAGTATCGTTCTCGTTTTCAAACTGGAAGGCCGAAACGTTGGATCAAAATTTGATTGCCAAATTCGAATAGGAAACAACTGTGTTATGCTGTGAAATGCGTTGTCAATCTGAACCTGTGACACATGATTTGCATTTTTGTTTGATAACTGTAATTTTAAGTAACTCTTATAACACTCACCTTCAATATTATCATCAATATATTTTTTTTTTGGGGGGGGGGGGAATTTATTATAGAGGAATATGTAAGATTCAATTTTTGATCAACGAATACAGATATATAGTATTATATTTTCCCTGGCCCCCGAATAGGCTTAAGCAGATTTGCTTCAAAGTTTAACCCTCATCTGCCAAACAAAAAGGCTTGGGTTTACCGAATCAATTTACTACTGCATTCAGCCATTCACTATGATATTTACATAGATTTAGATTCTCTACGTAAAAAATTGATTATGTTATTTGATCACAATCACTCATTTAAAAATCATATAAGAGAGAGACGTAACCATTTTTCAAGCTATTTTTTATTTACGAATCCTTTAAGGTAGTGTTTGGTTGGGAGCTTTTTAGGGGATATCTATCTTTCTCAAGTATGGCTTTTAGAAACACCATGTTTGTTTCAACGTTTTTTACCAAAAACCTATCTATCCAATTTGTCTGGATTTATGAGAAACATAGATATCCGCACTATTTAGAAACCCAATTTGAAGGTGGGATTTTTCAGAAAACCGGTTATCTGACTTTTAATGCACTGTTGATTTCATAAAGTTACCTAATTTTCTCAGTAAAGTTTTTTCCAACCAAACAACTTTTTTTTACATTTTTGTACCTATCTCACTTTATCTATCTTTCCAATCATTTCTCTATTTATCTCATTTCCCTACTATTCTAAAAAAAAATTCTCAACCAAACGCTCCCTAAAAATTCATGAAAACATAAACAGCCAACTGGTCAAGTAAATGTACACAAAGGTGACACGTGACTCTACTATTTTCTGTCTTGATTATATAAAAGAAAGCTGCCATATAAAAGCAAACAAATATATGTCAACGAAACAATAAAAGCTGGGCCATGAAAATGAAAACGGGATTATGTTTAAATTTGCATGATTTTGAGAGGATTTTTTTTAAACTTTATTAGTAAATATAGAAAAGTATGAAAGGATTGAATGATAAGTGTTGTATTGTTTTGAGGCACATAGCTAATTATATATACAAATGACAACAAACTGAAACAAACGATAACAAACTATCGTAACAATACTAATACTATCGTAACAATACTATATGGAGAACAAACAAACTATCTTAACCAAACTATACAGATACAAGATATTAACAAACTACTGCATGCTTTGATCTTATTCACTGCGATATCTGGGGTCTATATCAAACTACCTCTCTAACCGGTGCAAGATATTTTTTAACAATTGTGGATGATTATAACAGAAACGTCTGGGTTTATTTAATGACCACCAAGTCTGAAACGTTTCAATACTTAACTCGATTTCTTCTCATGGTACGTAATCAGTTTAATACCATGGTCAAAATAATACGCTCCGACAATGGATCAGAATTTTGTGCTCATAATCTCCGCAAGGTTTATTCCGATATGGGAATTATACATCAAACATCATGTGTAGACACACCACAGCAGAATGGTCGTGTTGAACGGAAACATAGACATATTTTGAATGTTGCAAGAGCATTACGCTTTCAAGCTAGTCTTCCTATCGAGTTTTGGGGTGAATGTGTTCTAACTGCGGTACATTTAATCAATAGAACCTCCACTCCTCTTCTCCAAGGAAAAACACCATATGAATGTCTTTTCAACCGCACACCCAGCTATGATCATATTCGCATATTCGGATGTCTTTGCCATGCTCATCCACGTCCCAAACCGTTGGACAAGTTTGCAGCTTGATCAACTCGGTGTCTGTTCCTGGGATATCCTTTTGGCAAAAAGGGTTGGAGGCTTTATAACCTTGAAACACATACTGTTTTTGTATCCAAAGACGTGGTATTTGAAGAGAACACCTTTCCTTTTGCACCAACCACAGTCATTCCTACCACTGATATTCCTCACGACCCAAACCCCCATAACCCCATATCACCCGAACCAACCCTTGCTCCACAAAGCCCATCCTTTGATTCCCAAGTTGTTACCAACCCTGTCCCTTTAATTGAAGACACTCTCCCTGTTGAACAGGCTCAGCCCGAATCTGCCCCTACTGTCTCCAATGAGCTTTCTATCCGACAAGAACAGCCCCCAGAAGTCACACATCCATCTGCACCTTTGGGGCGTGGTCACCGTTCTCGCCGTCCTCCATCATATCTCCAAGATTTCGAATGCTCCAAAGTCATCGCACATAATCCACTAGCTTCTTCTACTTCTTCCAGTCCTTCCTCAGGTATGGCTTATCCTATTGCTAACTTTGTTTCTTGTTCTAGATTCTCTCCCAAACATCAACAATTCCTTGCTGCCATTTCTTCTGGTGTTGAACCAAAAACATTCAAGGATGCTGTAACTGATGAAAGGTGGCGTGTAGCAATGCGAAAAGAAATAGATGCCCTTGAACAAAATCACACGTGGGAACTCACTTCTTTGCCACCAGGAAAACGTGCCATTCCATGCAAGTGAGTATACCGCATTAAGTACAACTCAAATGGTACAGTGGAGAGATTCAAAGCACGGTTGGTCATTGCCGGTAACAATCAAATAGCTGGAGAAGAATACTTCGATACATATGCTCCTGTAGCCAAAATGGTGAGTGTCCGAACACTTCTTGCGGTAGCTGCTGCCAAATCATGGCACCTATACCAGTTGGATGTTACGAATGCCTTTCTACACGGAGACCTTACCGAAGAAGTTTACATGCGCGTTCCACAAGGTTTCAATCATCACAAACCACATCAAGTATGTCGCTTACGTAAATCTCTCTACGGTTTGCGGCAGTCCCCTCGCAATTGGTTTGCTAAGTTGCGGTCTTCCATTGAATCATATGGCTTCATCCAATCCAAGGCAGATTACACCCTATTCACCTTACACAAAGATGGCCACTTTGTTGCTCTTCTCATCTACGTTGATGACATTATTCTAACGAGCGACAATGATGCCTTATGCACCGATGTCAAGGTCTTTCTCCAGTCATGCTTTCACATCAAGGATTTGGGGATCCTTAAATATTTTCTTGGCATCGAAATAGCTCACGGTCCATCAGGTCTTTTTCTGAGCCAACGAAAGTACGCTCTCGACATATTGGAAGACGCTGGTCTCCTTGCGTGCAAACCATATGCCTTCCCTCTCGAAACAAATCATAAGCTTGCAGTTACAGAAAGTCCTCCATTCTCGGATCCCGCACGTTACAGAAGACTCATAGGACGTTTGGTTTACTTGACAATTACTAGACCTGAGTTAAGTTACTCCGTTCATGTTCTTTCCCAGTCCATGCAAAATCCTACTATTGCTCAATATGATGCTGTCATCCGCGTTTTAAGGTACATCAAAACTGATCCTGGCCAAGGTTTACTCCTTCGATCCGACAATGATCTCCTTCTTCGTGGATATTCTGATTCGGATTGGGCTAGCTGTCCACTCACCCGTCGATCAGTTACTGGTTATTTTATCATGTTGGGTACTTCTCCTATCTCTTGGAAAACAAAGAAGCAACCTACAGTGTCTCGCTCCTCCGCTGAAGCTGAGTATCGTTCAATGGCAGCAGCTACAGCTGAGTTGTTATGGATCAAATCGTTTCTGGACTCGCTTGATGTTCCACATTCACACCCTATGCAGTTGCACTGTGATAACCAATCTGCCATGCAAATAGCTGCTAATCCAGTTTTCCACGAACGTACCAAACATATAGAGATTGATTGTCATTTTGTACGCGATCATGTTCTCAGCAATACAATCACTACTACCTACGTTCGTACAGATCAGCAACTCGCAGACATATTTACCAAACCGCTTGGCATGAAGCAATTCAGTTTTCTTCGCAGCAAGTTGGGCATTTCGTCACTTCATGCTCCAACTTGAGGGGGCGTGTTAGGAGAAGATCACCTTTGATCTTATCCTTTAGCAACTAAGTCCTAGTTTTTAGCAAGAATAGTTTGTTATTATTCCATGTATAGTTTGTTGAACAATATACTTTATTCTAGTTGATCCTCCTTGATTCTGTATAACCGACTTGTGTATATATTGGCTATCAGCCATTTCATTAAATATAACAACATATTCAAATCCTCTTAGTTGATCTTATCCTAACAGTAAAATCTTAATTATGTTATTTCAAATACAAAATAAATAATTTAAGTACAAATAAATCACAAGCTGTTTTTATGATTGCAATGTGCATACCCTTATCGATTCTACCAAAGAAACAATATAATGATTTATTGATTGCTACAGTACAAAAACTCAAACAACCTTCCTACTATTTTGTGTTCCATGGCAATTATGGAGATTGGAGTAGATCAAGTGAATGAGACAAAATTGAAGAGCTTTTGGGCTTGCAGGTGCATGAAATAATGTCCATCATTCCAATCCATGAACCTATACTACTGTAGGCCCCTGATTACTTAATTACGATGCCAAAATATCAACTCATGTCAGAACTCACACTAATGACTAATGTTGTGCATTTCATAGTTGAGACTAAGTCGGAGGAGGGGCTTCAAGCCCAATTATCAACGATTATTTTTCAACATCAAATTTTTTGGAATTGCTTTACGAAATAAATATCTAGGAAATTTTTGATACGTGGCATTTTCATAGTAGTATAAGTTAGACATTCCAGTATATTTGTCATTTTTAATACAATCCTGAATATTGTGGCCTAAAATTTGAAGCATTTGATACTGAAATGTGTTATAAATTTCTCATACGATGGTGTTCCGTACTTGTAAGCTTTTAATTCGTCAAGTTCAAATCATGCAACTACATCGCTTCAATTGCATGCATTCGGTCAGAAAAATAGACAAGACTGGTGCATTTTGGACCAAATTAAGCCGAGGTCGTCAGTAATCAAAATCAAAGGGTATCCCTACTCGCATAGGCCCTCAGACAAGTAAGGAAGAAAACAACAACACTCCATGCAGTAACACCAGAAACGACACCTATTCACCATTCACAAAGGAACCACT